AAAATTTTTTCAGAAAGAAAAATAGTAATCAAGATGGTTTTATGTATGTAGTCGACAAAACTTTCAAGGAACAAATGATTTCAGTCTTACACAAACACTTCAGAATATAAAAGAAAAGGAACACAGCCTGATCGATAAAGATGAATTTATTCTAAAGCCAGAGAAGAACACTATAAAAAGGGAAAATTATTAGTCTCATTGCACTCATAGATATAAAAGAAAAATATCTAAAACAAAATATTATAAAACTAATTTAGCAGTATATAAAAAATATTTATTATACTTCTAAACCAAGTTGTTTTTTTCACAAATTTAATATTTGCTTTATTAATGTAATTCACCACATTAACCAAGTAAAGGAGAAAAATTATATTATCATCTCTAAAGATGTAGAAAATACTGTTAGTAAAATTTAAAATACACTCATGATAAAAACTTTAGCAAATTATGAATAGAACCCAATAAAAAGATACACAGAAAAATTCTACAGAAAATATATTTAATGTTGAATCATTGAAAATTTTTCCCTTGGGATTGGGAATGAGACAAATTGTCAGCATAACATTATAGTGGAGATCTGAGCCAGGATAGCAAGGAGAAAAAGAAATAAAAGAAATAAGGTTTGGAAAGAAATAAACAAAATCACCCTTATTTGAATTTATGACTATACTCATAGAAAATACAGAAGAATCTATAGCAAAAATATCACAATTCATAAAGGAATTCTGTCACATTTCTGTATATTAAATCAATATTTAAAAGTCAATTGCATTTCTATATACCAGAAACAGAAAATGAAATTTAAAAAATAATACCAGTTACAATAGCATAAAAATATTGAGTACCTAAAAATGAATGTATTAAAAGATATTCCAGACTTCTATGAAGAAAATTATCTACTTCTATTGAAAGTCANGGGAGCGCCGCCGCACTCCCAAGTGGCGCACTGTAGCAGTGCGCCATCAGGCCGGCCCTAATACATATTTCTTATGCCTGACAAGTATTAATGTGTGAATGCATGGATGGGGGAATACTTTTACCTATAAATTTTATCAAACTAGAACCAAAAGACCATGTCATAAAGAAAATCACATCACATTTCAAATAATGAGTATCACAGAGAACACATTCTCTGACCGCAGACAATTAGCTTTAAAAAATAGTAACAAAAATTAATTGGAAAAAAACTCATTTGTCTAAAAATTTTAAAAAATCAAATAATATATAGGTTAAAAGAAATCAAGAAATTTAAAAAAATTTAGAATGAAGTAGCAATGAAACATGGTGGATAAAAATTTTTGGATGAATTTGAGAGAAATTTAGAGGAAAATTTATAGCCTTACATATTTATACTAAACAATATGAAAAGCCAAAAATTGAGGAAATAAATTAGAAAAAGTACATGAGACTAGAACCTCAAAAAAGCAGATGAATGAAAATAATAATCAGCAGAAATGAATACAACAGAAAACAAACATATGATAACATACAATAGAGAAGATTAAAAAAGCCGAAGAGGTTCCACAATTGACAAATTTCTGACAAGATGAATACTGAACCAAAGACAAGGCTCAAAGACATGATACCAAAAATGAAAAAAGGGTCTTAATAGATGTTACAGAAAAATACCTACATAATAATAAATTTGAAAACTTAGATGGAAGAATTTTTAGAAAGATAATGTTTATCTGAATTTGTTATAGAAGGAAAAAACCTTAATAATTTTAAAAACATCAAATATATAAGCTATTAAAATTTTTTCAGAAAGAAAAATAGTAATCAAGATGGTTTTATGTATGTAGTCGACAAAAC